ATTTCACCCCATAGCTGCAGAATATACATTCTTCTCAAGTGCACATGGGACATTCTCAAAGATAGACCACATGTTAGGACACAAAACAAATCTCTACAAGTTCAAGAAGATTGAAATCATATAAAGCATCTTCTCGGATCAAAGTGGCATGAAATAAGAAATCAATTACAATAAAAACACTCAAAAACATTCAAACACATGGAGGCTAAATAGCATGTTATTAAACAATGAATGGGTTACCAAAGAGATCAAGGAAGAAATAAAAAACTTCCTGGAAACAAATGAAAATGAACAAACAACCACCCAAAATCTATGGGACACAATGAAAGCAATCCTGAGAAGGAAGTTCATAGCGCTACAGGCTTACCTCAAAAAACAAGGAAAACTTTTAATAAACCATGTAACAACTTAAAGACTTAGAAAGAAACAACAAGAAAAGCGCAGAATAAGTAGAAGGAAGGAAATAATAAATATCAGAGCAGAAATAAATGACATAGGGAGTAAAAAACAATACAAAAGATCAATGAAACCACGAGCTGGTTCTTTGAAAAGATAAACAAGATTGATGAACCTTTAGCCAGACTCATCAAGAAACAAAGAGAGAGGACCCAAATAAAATCAGAAAGGAAAGAGGTGATATAACAACTGACCCAACAGAAATACAAAGGATTGTAAGAAAATACTATGAACAACTATATGCCACCAAGGTGGACAGCCTGGATGAAATGGACAAATTCCTAGAAAAATACAACCTTCCAAACTCAATCAGGAAGAGTCAGAAAATCTGAATAGGCCAATAACTACTGATGAAGTTGAAGCAGTAATCAAAGGGCTGTTAGCACACTAAAGCCCTGGCCCAGATGGCTTCACAGGGAAGTTTTACCAAATATTCAAAGAACTAACACTGATCCTCCTCAAACTATTCCAAAAAATCCAAGAGAAAGGAACACTTCCAAGCTGGTTTTATGAGCCAGCATCAGCCTAATTCCAAAACCAGATAAAGACACTACAAAGAAAGAGAATTACAGGCCAATATCCCTGATAAACATAGATGCTAAAATCCTCAACAAAGTATTAGCAAATCGGATCCAGCAATATAATTAAAAGATGATACACCATGACCAAGTGATATTTATTCCAGGGATGCAAGGCTGCTACTATATTCGCAAATCAATAAACGTGATACATCACACAGACAAACTGAAAGGCAAAAATCACATATCGTATCAATAGATGCAGGAAAAGCATTCGACAAAATCCAACACCCATTTTGATAAAAACTCTCAGCAAAGTGGGAATAGCGGGATCATACCTCAACATAATAAAGGCCATATATGACAAACCTATAGCCAATGTCATACTTAATGGACAAAAACTAAAACTGTTTCCTCTAAGAGCAGGAACAAGACAGGGATATCCACTTTCACCACTCGTATTGATGATAGTACTGAAGTCCTAGCCACAGTGATCAGACACGAAGAAAACATAAAAAGCACCCAAATTGGAAATGAGAAAGTAAAACTGTTATTTGCAGATGACATGATATTGCACATAGAAAACCCTAAAAACTCCACCAAAAAACTACTAGATTTAATAAATGAATTCAGCAAGGTAACAGGATACGAAATTAACACCCAGAATCCATGGCATTTTTATATACCAACAATGAACTCTCAGAAGGGAAACTAAAAAACAATCCCATTTACCATTGCAACTAAAAAATTAAGATACTTAGGAATAAACTTAACCAAGGAGCTAAAAGACCTGTACTTAGAAAACTACAGGACACAGAAAAAATAGAGGAAGATATAAACAAGTGGAAGAATATACCATGTTCATCGATTAGAAAAATTAACATCATTAAAATGCCCATACGGCCCAAAGCAATCTATAGATTCAATGCAATTCCTATTAAAATACCAAGACATATTTCACAGGTCTGGAACAAACACTCCAAAAATTTATATGGGACCAAAAGAAGACCCCCAAATAGCTGCCCCAATCTTGAGAAAGAGGAACAAAGTTAGAGGGATCACAATGTCAGATACCAAGTTATACTACAAAGCCACTAATCAAAACAGCCTGGTACTGGCACAGGAACAGACATATAGACCAGTGGAACAGAACAGAGACCCCGGAAATCGACCCACGTCATTATGGTCAGTTAATATTTGACAAAGGAGGCAAGAGCATACAGTGGAGCAAAGACAGTCTCTTCAATAAATGGTGCTGGGAAAATTGGACAGGTTCATGCAAAAAAATGAAACTAGACCACCAATTTACACCATACGCAAGAATAAACTCAAAATGGACTAGAGACTTAAATATAAGTGGCAAAACCATAAAAATCTTAGAAGCAAATATAGGCAGCAAAATCTCAGACATGTCTCGTAGCAATATGTTTGCCAATCCATCTCCTAGGGCAAGAGAGACAAAGGATAAAATAAACAAATGGGACTGCATCAAACTAAAAAGCTTCTGTACAACAAAAGAAACCATCAAAAAAATGAAAAGGGAGCCCACTGTAAGGGAGAAGATATTTTCCAATGACCCATCTGATAAAGGGTTAATATTCAAGATATATAAGGAACTCATACAACTTAACAAAAGGAAGACCAACAATCCAATCAAAAAATGGGCAAAGGACCTGAATAGACACTTCTCCAAAGAGGACACACAGATGGCCAAGAGACATATGAGAAAATGCTCAATGTCACTAATCATCAGAGATGCAAATTAAAACCACAATAAGATACTACCTCACACCTGTCAGAATGGCTCCATCAACAAATCAACAAGTGCTGGCGAGGATGTGGAGAAAGGGGAACCTAGTGCACTGCTGGTGGCAATGCAGACTGGGGCAGCCAGTATGGAAAGCAGTATGGAGCTTCTTCAAAAAATTAAAAATGGAACTACCATTTGACCCAGTGATCCCACTTCTAGGAATATATCCTAAGAATCCTGAAACACTCATCAGATAGAATATATGCACCCCTTTGTTCATAGCTGTGCAATTCACAATAGCTAATACCTGGAAACAGCCCAAGTGCCCATCAGTAGATGAGTGGATACAAAGCTGTGGGACATTCACACCATGGAATACTACGCAGCTGTAAAAAAGAATGCTCTCATACCCTTTGGGACAGCATGGTGGGTCCTAGAGAGTATTATGCTAAGAGAAATAAGCCAGTCAGAGAAAGACAAATACCACATGACCTCACTCATATGTGGAATCTAAAGAACAAATAAATTGATGAACAAAATAGATCCAGATACGTAGAAACATGGAACAGACTGGAATCTCAGAGGGAAGGCAGGGGTGGGGGAGTGGGTGGGGAGAGAGTAATCAAAGAGCTTACATGCTTATGTGCACAACCTGGGGACACAGACAATAGTATCAGGAAGGCCTGGGGGTGGGGCAGATGAGGGGTGGAGGGGATCAATGGGGCGGAGGGAACTGTAATACTTTCAACAGTAAAGATAAATTAAAAACAAACAAAACAAAGCAAAAAACCCAGTAGCACTAGCCTGGACTTGCATAGAATTTAGAATAAGTATTAGATGATGAATGAATTCTCAATAACGCTTTAATTCCCAGACAACAACATTTCCACGAACTGCTGGGGAATATTTGTAATCCCGCTGGCCTACCTCTGCCTGCCTTTGCCCCTAGTTTTTTTATCACTGACTTTGTGCATAACATTATGAGAACGAGCAGTGCTTCTAAACATAGACGTTCTCAGAGCTACTGCTCTGTGATGAAACTGAACTTCTTTTAATGATTTCGTCAAGATAAAGGAGCTTCTATGGCTAGAAATCTACCAACCTAAATAAACTATATACAGTTTTAATTTATACAGCAATGTGTGACGTGTTGGTTGAGCTGCGAAGTACATTTTCTAAGAAAACTCCTCAGGGACTGGACTAAAAGTTATTTTAATACACATTAAAATTAACACAAAGAACCAGTAGATTTGCAGACGGTTGCAGAGCGTGGGACGTCCTCTATGGGTCATACTTTGAGAGCACTTACCGAACCAAATGTGCTTTAAGAATCAAGACAGAAAATGCAGACCCATCTGCTTAGGCCAGTAAGCAGTCAGCCGCCTGTGAGCTTCTGTAGGACGTGTGTCCCGCCACCGGCTGGTCACTAGCTTTCTGCTACTTCAAGAGGATAATGACAGGTTGTTAAGAAGTTGAGCTGTAAGATTCCACCAAAGGCCGTGCCCCCTGCCCAGCTTCCCTCCACGCTGGCAACTGTCCCCCACCGATACCAGGGAAGCTGTGAGACCTTGGAAAATGTCTTCGTCACAAACGTGCATAATTGAAGCAAATGATAAATTTCACATACAAAGGAAGGAAAGAAGACGTTTACTAAGGGGCCTTCTATGATTTTGACAGTTTATAAAGTTACCTAATGTGTATCTCTCCCACCTCTGGCACCGACCGGCAGGACTCTGAGGGGATCTGGGCAGTGGCCACAGCCTTAGGGGCCCTTCCCACCAGAGCAGAGCCGAGGACTTGAGTCTCCAATGTTTGCTCTAATTCAAAAGGCCACTTCCCAAGAACCGCACGGAGTTAAGGATTGACGTCATTTTCTAAGGCACGCGTGGGATTGGGCGGAAAGGATTAGCCTGGGAACTTCCTCCTGCAGGAGTCACAAGGCAGCACAGGCCCCTCCTGGGTTTTTTAGGTCTCATGTTCTTCTTTTTTGTTTTATTTCTTAAGATGCTGGAACATAGCAGGTTTTGTAACAAAAGCACTGACTCTGGATTTAAAGTAGATACGTGTCTAAAATAACTCACTGCCCCTCCTAGCTTTAGAACATTTCCTCGGCGGTCTCCATCCAGCGTCCCTGCTGGACCCATGTCGTCCCCATGTTCCTATAATTGAATCGTGACGCCAGCTTGTGCGCTGTCTTCTGTGAGAAAACAAAGCTGGGTTTCAACACGCCAGCGGGTGGGAAGGAACTCTCTGCTTACTGTTCATTCTCCCTTCAGGTTCTCCCAAGACAAACCTGTGGCCTTTTCACTCACACGATTTTCTACAAAGAGTACCCCGGAGGCCCCCAAGAGCTGGACAAGAGCATCCAAGGGGGCGAACTGTTCTTCACGCTGGTCCTCAACCCAGTAAGTACCTCGGGCTCGTCTCCAAGTAACTAATGAGAGGTGAAGGGGCAGCTGCCAGTCCCCCTCATACCACAAACGCGTGAGTGATTCTGGTTTTCGCAGCAGGAATCATCCAGTTCTTCTAACTTATCTATTACTTACAAATGAGAGGATCTTCAGGATCACCTTATATGGCTATCTGACCTTTTTTCTCAATCCTGCGAGTAACACACAGGCAAAGACTGAAACCAGTGCCTGATTCTGAACTGCAGACTCGGCCCATATGTGCTATTCTAACATTTCCACCAACAGTTTTAAGACCCCTTAATCTATAACCTATAAAACTCCGATGTTTTAAACTTCCTTTCATCATAGAGCAATAGGACTACGAACAGATAATCATCTATTTGACTCAACCCATGGTTGCTTTGACACATAAGCAATTCTTCATGGTATCGTAATTCTAGAACTTTCTAGGCCAAATTAGTTCCACACAATGCGGAAGAAATTCAAAATTGGATCATTCATGTACAATAGATTTACAAGAAATATTATACATTCCACTAATTAAAACCCAAATTATTTTCTTAATTGAAAAAAAAAAAATCTTGTAGTAAAGCTTGTGTTAATCTCAGATACTAATTTGGACCAAACTAACTGCCCAGACTCCCTGAATGTTGAGCCAACTTTGCTGCTTTTCAGGCCTTTGTCAATAAATCTGGCAATTCCGTCTGTCTTGATGAGGAGATCCACAGGGGGGAAGGGGAGAAGAAACCTTCCCACAAAACTGTTTTTTTCTGATTCAGAGAGCTTTCAGGAGACAGCACCTTCCCATAAATGCTGGGATTTATAAATAAGTGACAGGCCGTCAGACACTATGAGGCAGGCAAGGGACCCGCGCTGACTTATCCGCACTAGCTCCAGTTTGCGGCCGCCTGCAATCCCTGGCGATGTGGGTCGGAAGCCACTTCTGGACGCAGCCCCAGCCTCGCCGAGGGAGGCTGCCGCCTTCTTTAGCGCTGGCCGCCGGGCAGGACAGGCGAGGGTGACGGCCGGCTTCTCATGAACTCTCCATTCCCGAATTCAACGTTGGGATACAGTTTGTGTGGAAGACAAAGAGTGATCCAGGTGCAGGCTGGCGACTTAGCAGGTGACCTTCTTCAGGTCAGGATGAGAATGGAACTGTGATGGGATTAAAATAGACATTAGCCACAGGAAACATAGGCATTTTCATGATCGCGGATTTGAAAGATAGCACCAGAAGCTTCCCTAACCCCCAGGCCTTAATCAGATGCCCATTTTCTGAGAAACCGAATGAGTTTGTTGTTTACTGTCAAAAGGTAGATGTGTACTGGAAACAAACCTTTGGTTCCTAAATATATTCAAATACGTCTGAGTTGAAAAGGAAAATACAAGCAGGACTTGGTTAATGCATTTTAAAATTTTTCTTCCCACGGGCCACGTAATATCAAGGGGCTGCCATACCCAGCACCTCTGAGGCTTCAGTTAAGCCAGTCACAGCGAAGGTCACAGGCTCCTCACACAGACCAGCCCTCCAGCCTGACGCGTTCTGCCGTTAACCCAAGCACTTCTCATTGGTCAAGAAGAAAGTGTCAACCAAGTGAATTCAATACTCATGGTTCCGAGGACAGACGTCGGCCCCATCCAGGAGAGAGAAAGCCTTCTCCGCACAGAGCTCCATGTCACAGGCCAGCACCCTCTGATGGGCGCAGGGATTTTCACTGATGGACTCTGAGGTTCAGGAGTCCTTAGGAGGTGGGCCCTCAGGCTGTCTGAACCTGGGGCCCTGAAGAGTTCAGACCTAAGTCTTTTTCTGATTCTAAACTCAGCAAGCAACTTCCTGATCACACTTTACTCTCAGTCCTACTGTAGGAAAGAATGCGTTGATCCTAAGAGCTGGGACAGTAATTTGCGATGCACTTTTATAAATCTCTTGACGGGTGAACAGCTGCCATGTACCCTGACTGCCAGGAAAGGAGCCTCTCATTGTGCAGATTCTAATATTTTGGTCCCACTACAATTCCCCATTTTAAACTGAGAGCTGACGTTCTGGTTTTATTTGTCGGTTTTGTGATCTTTGCTAACTTGATCCTGCCCTTGGAAATGGAGGCCCTCTGCCTAACTAAAAGCTGAAGAGCAGACCTAGCGGCTCCTGGTTACTGAGGTGCCCTGGAGCACTTGCTGGGACCACTCACAGGCGGAAGCGAGGCTGGTGGTGCAGCTCCCGGGACGGTGGTGCACGGAGGCCGTGCTCTGTACCCACAGGTCGCGCGTGGCCTCGCCCTGGCCGCTCTCGGCGCCTCCCTGTAACGGGTGCGTCAGGAGCCCGCTGTTTCCTGTGGAGGCTGGAAACTGTCAAGGCAGAGTTTAGAGACAGCCTCCCAGAGCTCTCATCCGTATGTCAGACTAAACTTGATATGAAAAGTCGTATTGGTTTCCAGCTTCCTAGAGCATCCAAAAGGGAAAAATGGAGCCCAGCCTTTAAAAATATAAAAAGCATCTGTCTGCACAGGAAATTCTGCTCTGATATTTTGCAAATGATGCCCATTTATATTTACAAGAGAAATCAGATCTCACGAACTACGTAGGCAGTAACGAATGCATCATTTTGTTCAAAATGTAAAAATATGGATTGGAAATTCTGACAGGCTGGCCGGATGGTGCACGAAGTATCCTTGTGCCCAGACCTGGCCGGGGCTGCCTGGCATGACCGGAAGGAAGCACCAGGGTGACCAGTGAGAGGACATGGGCTGTGGCGTCAGGCTGCTCACGCAAGCCCATCTGTCAGTGTACTTACCCCTTGAGCTTCACTCTGGTCCCACACGAGTTCCTCGCAGGAAGACTTGGAGCCGTGTCACTAACTGTCTGGCACGGAGCATTCTGACGTTTGACTTCTCCTTGGCTCCCTCTTTCTCTCTCCTATCACAAACGGATTACAGTGGGCCTCGCAGAGAAAAACTGCACTCCGGGAACAAGAGCTGTGGGCCTGCTCCTTACGGGGGCAGCGAACACATCCCTACGGCCGCTGTAGCGACCTCAGCGTGTCCTTGCCCCCGAGAGGCACGGACAGGGCAGGAGCTTGCTCGCCCGGCCCTGCTTGGGAGACGCGCGCACGCGGACGGCCCATGTGCAGCTGGAGTCCCGTCTGTCTTCCTCTCTGGGGCTAACCCTCGGGGGCCAGGGGCTGGCTAGCTGGCCTGTGCTTCCCTCCACGCCCTCGGGGACAGCGCAGCGCCCTTCCCTCCCCCAGAGCGAGGGGAGCGCAGATCTGCCCATTCTCACCCCGTCGGAGCAAGGCGGGGCTGCAGGGCACCGCTGTGCGTTACCAGCTCTGTTTAGCTAACGCTGTGCTGACGGTTCGCGGATTGCTCGTACCCACTAAGTACCCTGAAATTACAAAGTCCCTGCTTCCTGGGATCCCCTGTCTCTGAGTGTGAGTAGTCCACATGCGTGAGGCCATCAGATGTGACCATCAGGATAAATTATTCACGTCATTCTCCCCGCACCCGCATGGGTACATGGCAGCTGGATTCATTCGTTTTGTTGTGAAATATATTAAAATCTCAGGGAAAATGCTCATCCGGTCTTGCTAAGAGCGCATCCCCTGGCACGTATGAACATGAGACTGTTTGGTCTGTCCGAAATTCAAAAGTGTGTCATGAGTGGGTGTGAAAAAGGAGCAGCATTGAGGCCGTGGCTCTGCCCCCGGGGGTGAAATACCGCGTGCACACTGACGTCCATTTCCCTTTTCCAGATCAGCATTTTCATGACCCACCTGTCCAACTACGGCAATGACCGGCTGGGGCTGTACACCTTCGTGAACCTGGCCAACTTCGTGCAGAGCTGGACCAACCTGCGGCTGCAGACTCTGCCCCCCGCGCAGCTGGCCCGCAAGTACTTTGAGATCTTCCCGGAGCAGAGAGACCCTCTCTGGCAGGTGAGACCGGCTCAGGGAATGGCGTGACTACCCCATGAGGATCCCTCGGAGCCCTGGGTCGTTCAGACCTGAAAGGTGGAGGCGCGGGGTGTGGGGCGGGGAGCTCATGCTTCTTGGAAATGTTAGTGGGTTTGAGACGCCACTTCTCCCTGAATTGAGGCTTCGCTTCCTGCTTCCTGGTGGCCGGTTCCCTGTCCCCACGCCCGGCGGGAATGCCGGAGTTCCGAAGCTCCGTGCAGGGTCGAGTGGATGTAACGGTCTCGGTGGAGGGTGAGGGGTGGGCGCGCAGACTGAAGGGTGAGAAGACAGGCAGCAGGGTGGGCGGCAGGCAGGCAGCCGGCCCGTCCACCTTGAGCACCTGCCCACCTCCAGGGACTGAACACACTCAAGGGGCAGGTGAGGAGAGTTCAAACTGGTGTCAGCCTACTGAGCCACGGGGCAGCCGGCAGCTGCAGGATTCGGGCATCTTTCAAAAGTATTACTCGGGAGTGGACGTGGCAAAGCTACTTGAGCCTCTTAATATCACATAAATATGGGATCTTCACACTGTTCTAGGGATAACCAGGGTCCCAAAGCACATGCCCTTCTGCACCTGGAGTCGCAGTAACACGCTTTGAACTTAACCCCCCCTCTGTGATCTGGGAAAGCAGCAATCTTAGGAAATAACTACATAGTACTTCCTGTGTCAGACTAGGTTCTGTACAGCGTAACCCATTTAATCCTCACAACTACCCTATGTGGTAGGTACAATCATCCCCATTTTACAGATGGAGAAACTGAGGCACAGAATGGCTGAGACACTTGAGCAAGGTCACCCAGCTAGTGAGTGGCAGGTGGGAGTCCGTTCTGGGCCATCTTCTCAGAGGCTGTGCTGTCAACCACTCTCGTAAGTGCCCCTGGAGCAGGACAGTAACACTCGCCCGGGGCAGACTCAGTAAGTCCCACAGACTGAGTTTCAGTAAGCTCTGAGCTCCAGGTTTAATTCACTCAGTGCTGAACCTGAGCTAATTACTCCTGAGCACGAACAGAGAACCCCAAATGAGACACAAGTACACAGTTTAGTAGGTTAAAGTAGGTGGTTGTGGAATTATCACTGCATATAACACACATCTTTTACATCTTCTAATCTTTTAGTCTTTTTTTATCTTAGCCAGAGGAAGGGAGGAAACAGGGAGGGAGGGAGAGAGAGAAACATTGATGTGAGAGAGAAACATGGATCAGTTGCCTCCCACATTCGCCCTGACTGGGGATCTAACCCGTAACCTGGGTATGTGCCCTGACCGGGCATCGCACCCGCCACCTTTTGGTGCATGGGGCCAGGGATGGCACTCCAACCAACTGAGCCACCCAGCAGGGCTCTTTTTCATCTTAACCGCTACAAAACATCACCAAACGTTAGCCACTGGAAAGACATGCAACTTTCCTACCATTTAAACCTTATTTTTAAACTGAAATCATTACGGTTTCAGGTGACAGGTTTGAAACCACTATTTTTCTAAAACAGCAGCCAACAAGAATACCCTCACGACACTCTTAACACCTGCTGCTTATTGTAAATAGGCAGAAGGTGTGTTTAACTACACGTCTCCAGCACTGACAGTAAAATAGAACGTTCCTGTCCTCCCATTTCTAAACCAGGAGGAAAGGGTACTGCAAAGTCTTCACATAATATGTACTTTACAGTTTAAGTTAAGGATATTCTACAGCCACAATTTCCAGCTGCTGTGCCACAGAATCCTTAAAGCATGCAAGACCTGACTGTTTAGTCGGGCACTGACCTCTTTTCCCTTAGACTGTCAAGTAAAAAAATGACAACGGCCAACACAATAGCCATCCAGTGTGAATGAATTAAAATCATACTTATTTTTTGTCAGATCAACAGAATATAATATTTTTGTGTGTTCCACAGAATTTTAGTAATTAGTTTATGTGCCATGAGATGGAAAAGTTTGAAAATCGCTGGTCTAGATAGATCTTGCACGGGTCCCTAAGGTCATAGTTCACCCTCATTTTCCCATTTTGCCAAAATGTAGTGCTTTTTAGCACCATGGTCTGTAAAGTTATAGGTTTAGATACACATTTACTGACCTTTGGAGGCTGCTGAAAGAAATCTGCTGTCCCTTCAAACAGTATTATTATGGCCAGATCTGTGTTCCTCTGACGTGCAGCAGTCACTTAGAATAAACCCTGACCCCCTTCTACAGTTCAGCTACCCCTGAGGGCTGAGCTTGGATCTCCTTTTAGGTCAGCATGGAGCACAGTCTCTGCCCAACAAGCTCATGATTTTAACACACTCGCACATGCATGCATGCACATGCACACACATGCACACTCACATGCATACACATGCCCACACACACACATGCACACAGGCCCACACACACACACAGGCACACTCCCATGCACACATGCACACGCACACATGCACACAAGCACAAAACTGCCCACAGAAAAAGAAATGCTGCAGCTCAGAGCTATGGGGGCCTCTCAGCAGAAGTGTGTCCCCTCCTGCCTGCTCAGCGGACACTCAGCCTCAGGACTGAAAGGAGCGTTTGAAAGCGCCCACAATGCCACTTCGCGGCTTGGTTCCCGGGGGTGGTTTTTTAAGGCCAGGGGTGGAAAACTCTAGCACACAACAGACACTCAATAAGAAGAACCATCTCTCATTCCTCTCCCACTCAGAATCCTTGTGATGACAAGCGCCACAGAGACATTTGGTCTAAAGAGAAAACCTGCGACCGCCTACCAAAGTTCCTGGTCATCGGACCCCAGAAGACCGGTGAGGCTTTCACATTATGGTGACCCCGCAGCTCAGCAGTCACCCCCAGTGTGACGCTCGGGTGGACAGACAGCCAGTTCTCACTGGTTCCCAGGCCTCCCGCCACCCTGCCGAGGGAGTGACACGTTTTCTCCTCTGACCACCTTTGCTCGGGTGGAGAACGTGCTCGCGCGCCTGTCGGGGTTGTTTATAGTGAGATGAGAAAAGATGCCACACAGTTTGAATATCCAGCAGGCAGTGTGGTGGCCAAGTCACCTCTATCCAGAATCTCAGTTGAAACACGTTGCTATTAACATTTCTCAAATGAAAACTGTGCTTTTAGAAAGTGACTGGCAGGACGTCCTCAAGTCCAGATGGACACAATGAATGTCTAAAACTATTATAACTCCCTTCCAGAAACACACCTCTTCCAGCCATCAAGCCATCACGGTTTATTTCCAAACTCTCTCCTTCAGGGACCACTATTGTCTAAAAGTCGAAAGGCATTTGACAAGCAGATTCCTAGACAGAAAAAACCTCTGTGCTGAGAAAGGTGCTTACTCAGACCCAGGAGAAAGCCTTTGCGCCTTTTCTTGGGCTGGTGTGCCATTTTTTTCCATAAACTTCTGGTTTCTGTAAGAATCAGTGTTAAAATAAAGCACAGTGGACGTTTTAAAATGCCAGACGTTCATGTATCCTGCACGAGAAGTTCTCTGGGGCCCTTGGATTCTGGCTTCACAGAAAACAGCCATTCAGGCCCCGCCGCCTCCTGAGGGGCAGCTCCCTTCTCCGCTCGCTCTACAGAGAGAACCGGGAGTTTCTGAGCAGTTTCACACGCGTCTCGGTCATCTGGGTGTGCGGATACGTGGCGTGTTAAAACTAACAGAAATGTAAAAACTGAACCTCGTGGGTGATTATTTGAATGTGTGTATCCACGACTCTATACACACGCACATGCACACGCACGCACGACACACACGTGCACACACATGCACAGGACAGTTTATTCAGACCCAAGAATACTTGTAGGCAAAGATAGAATTCAGAAAACACAACTTAATTTTTTGACCACTGACAAATTACATTGTGCCTTTTACCAACAAGTAGATCTAAGAATTAGATCATCTCCATTTTTTTTCGCTTGTCTTATTAATGCTGGTCCTGCTATTAAGGGCAAACAACATGATTTAATACAATTCTTAAAAATAAATTCAGAAAAGAATGCTTCCAGCTGATATAAGAAAGGAATTAATCTGCTTTCTCTTTCTCACATTCTAATGGCCATTGCTTTCTGTCCTCGGGAGATTTTATTCTCTTTATTTTTTAAATGCATTTCTGAATTGTATCTCAATAAGTTGTTATTTTTGAAAGCCTTACTACTACTCAGATGTGGCTCTCTTCAGGTGCTTGCACAGAGGTTAGCTCACCTGTCCCGTGAAACCCTGATCACCAGGCATTTTCCTCCCCACTAAAAAGATAGGACAGCGAAGGCTTAGGTTAGATGGTGTGTGTCCGAGCTCGCCCAGCTGGGGTGTGTGAGAAATAAAACTCCCGATCCTAGACTTACACCTGATTCTAAAGGACCGTGCTCTGGAAAGACTGCCTGCACTGCGGATTTCAAATAAGGGAACTTTTCCCCCAATAAGTTTTAGATTTTGTTCCCCATTTCGGCTAAGTCGGTGATTTTCCATGTGCCGAATCCGAAGCCCTGGGACAGGGCGCAGCTCCCTGTGTGTTGACGAGCCCTCCCAGTGAGTGCGACGCTGGCTGGGGCCTGGGAACCACGGTGAAGACATTTTTACTTCGTATATCCCAGATCACTCTGTTTCAGTCCCTATGGTCGCCTCCGATGGCAAATAGAAGTTCCCCGTCTGCCTGAGCTCCCCTCTCGGGACACTGCCTCTTTCATTCATTGTTTCAGACAGTATTGCTGTAGACGATTATAAAATGCTTCTGTTGTAGTGATATGGCAGATTCAAGTACAGTGTGAGATAAGCTTATCCGAGAGGTAAGAAACTTCAAAATGCGGAACAGGTGGCGACATGTCAGTATTACTAAGAAAAATCAGAACAATAATGTCCCCAAGTGGTCAGCCTACTCTGACTACCGGAGCCAGCCATTGGCCTGGAATACAATGAACAGGTCCAGCCCCATCCCGGCTGGGTAATAATGTAATCACAGCGGAGAGGGGGACCTGGAGGGTACCCTGCTCTCTCAGGAGTGCTGCACACGTAGGCCAGGAACAGTGTCCCGTCAGCAGCTTGTAAGCACAGTCGCTGCTGCAGGCGCCTGAGGAGCTCCTCGGCAAGCTGAGCTCGGCCTCCCCACTTCCTCCGGCAGCAGGCTAACTGCGCGGCGCCCTTTAGCTCGTAATTTAGGCTCTAGAACACTAACTACAGTCTATGACATTGTTCCCTTTTTTAAAACTCACGCTCTTGATCCCCATAGTTACAAATCTATATGGATATCTGGGATATGCCTTTCTCTTTCAAAAAGTTCTGTAAGTTATGTCACTAAAAAGGGCAGCAATATTTTTTCAAATTTAGCAATTTAAACAGTTTTTGCCACTACTCTTTATAACTGTAGGTTCATTCGAACTGGAACAAACTTGTTGAGAGATTAAATTCTGCCTCAAGTGTAATAACTTTTCTTAGGCCTCAGGAAGCACTTTATGGGGAACCCAAGTATTGACTTTGGTAATGTCATATCTTCTATTAAATAATGACACCTTTCATTCAAATAGTGCTTTACTCATATCAAGGTGTCTCTAGGTACAATATGTCTTTTTATCCTCAGAGGAAGCCTGTGAACTAAGCGAGGCAGGTGATTTCTTACTGACAAAGCCAAGACCAAGAGAAGCCAAAGTCACAACCCAAATCGGTGATTGGGCTGGAGTCAAATGCCAGCTCTCAGGACCTCACACATGCTCCGCTCACCTCACACCAGCTCTGAGTTTTAGCATCTACCGCTGTTTAAATGTGGGTTGGCTCTCCAGTTTAATTTGAAGAATACTTCTGCGTACCTGTCTGGTGCGTTGTGGTAGTTAATTAAACTTTGTAATGCTAATGGTAGGAAACTGTGTTTTCATTGAATTAATCTCTGAACCTCTCCTGTCTTTGCAGGAACCACTGCTTTGTATCTGTTCCTGGTCATGCATCCCTCCATCCTTAGTAACTCCCCCAGCCCCAAAACCTTTGAGGAGGTACAGTTCTTTAATAGAAATAACTACCACAGGGGGATTGATTGGTAAGATGGGTTATTAGTATAAATCTAAAAGTATATGTACTGTGCACAGTATAAAATGAGCACTCACATGTATAAACGTTTAAGTTTGTAGCCACAAGTAAATGTTACCCTCTGCGCCTTAGAAATTGATTGACTACATGAAAGTTCACAGAAATTATTCATAACTTTTTTCAGTTGTTGCAGGGACTTGTCACCTCAAGAGGCCCACATATAATTTCCATTTGCATTAATTATCTTTGATGGTAATTACAGATGTGAAGTCAGAGAGACTCCCGTAGCACCTAGGAGTTTCGTTCCTCTCCACTGTTAAGAAAACACTTTTGTGGCTTTTTCTCCTCATGCACTTTTCATTAAAGTGATGTTACCGTCCATATACATTATTTTCTATTTTGTTTTGGTATAAAAGGTAAATAGACAGAACTAGAAATGGGTACAAATCTCATGAGTAATGAAAGCCGTAAAAAATATCAACAATATACAAAATTGAACTGGCTTTTGAATTCATCTTAGAACTGTATCAGCCATTTGAGAAAAACAGTTAAAATTAAAAGTTAAAATGTCAAGTACACACAAAATACAGTGATGTAAATACAGCAGTGTAGTGGGAAGGACGTAGCAGGCATGTTAATCGTAAGGTAAATCTCCAGGCCTTGCTGTTTACGGTATGGATCCCGGGCAGGAGGTACAGAGGAGCGGGATTCTTAGAATAAGTGCAGAGCATGAGCCTAAGTGTTTTGCATGAATTTTAGCATAAAGAGCTCTTATACATTAACCTCTGCTGTCAGTTCTATGACCTCAACTGTGTAAGTATCAACGCCCTCCAGGCTCGCTTATGGGTCGCGGGGGTGGAAAGGTAAAGAAATGGGCTGAGCACCACCTGAGCACCTACGAGCACTTACGTCCATTCCGGCTGTTACGTGCTTCCCTGCGGATTCCTCAGCACCCTGCCTGACGCTGCCTCCGTGTCCCGTCCCACGGTGGTGGTGACAGTCCGGAAGGCGCCCACGCATGTCGGCCTCAGGCCTCAGAGGAGGCACTGGGACTGCTGTGGGGTGGAGACGAACTCGATGTCCGGGCTCCCTGAGACGCAAGGTATCTGTGAGAATAACCAATTAAAAAGGAAAGCTGTTCAGGCGCAAGGGATGTGTGGGGCCTCGACGACAGGAAGAAAATCCCTTAAGCCATTTATAAAGACGACAGGGAGAAGCAGAAAGCTGAAGAGCAATTAAAAATTTTAATTATAAGTCACTAAAAACACCCCAATTGCAAACACTGTTGACTGACAAATTATACGTGTATAAAAGGCAATTAGTGCAAATGACAGATAATAGTAACTGCAGGTGTCAATCTGTGAGCGACGACAACCAGGATGCCCTCCACGTCGCCTGGGTTTGGCCCTAAGACCAGCCTTCCCTCCAGGAGCCACCAGCACCTCCGCTGCCCCTCAGGGCCCCAGAGCCACAGGTTGGCGGTTCTGTGCCTCAAGGTGCCAAGGTCACGGGATGGACTCCACCCAGCAGTTAGTTCACCTGGACATGGATCGGCTTTTTTGGAGAACCAGGTAGAACCAGGGCTGCGTTCAAGGACAGGCAGCCGACACAGGCTTAGGGCACAAGCAAAGCAGGGCCAATGGAAGTTAGAAAACTCCGTCGTTGATGCAACAGCAAGATTCATAGTCAGAAGATGTCAGAAAATGATTTGTGCATGAAGTCACGTCTGCTGGTTTGATGATTAGCTGCTGTGATTACGGGGGGTGCGGTGGGGTGCAGGGGTGCATGACAGCCTTGGGGTCCTGTTCACGTTAGAGCCTCTAAATGTCTTCAGATGGCTTTGAATAAAATCACTGAGAAATACTCGGGTCAACCCAAGTGGCAAATGTGGAGTGTAGGAAAATCACACTTTCTCAGTAAAAAAGCGCTGAGGTGTTATGGCAACAGTAAGGCTTGAGGCAGACATTCGCTTTTACCCTTTAAATTGCTCAACCACTCCAGTTTTTCTCTTTTCTGTCCTCACCAGAGGATATTTTTCCCATTGCTTTTCAGAGAGTGGGAGGGGGAGGGGGGGAGAAACATCGATGTGAGAGAGACACATCAATTGGTTGCTTCCCCTACGCGCCCCTACTGGGGCCAGGGATCGAGCCTGCACCCGAGGTGCGTGTCCTTGACCGGGAATCGACCCGGACGCCCTTCGGTCCCCGGCCGATGTTCTAATCTCTGAGCCAAACTGGCTATGGCTAGTTTTTCACGAATTCTTTGGATAACCTGAATTCATAGTCTCCACATATGGACCTGTTTCTACCCTGGAAATATGAATGAATTCGATCTATTTACTTGTTCGCCCATCGAACATTTTTCAAGGAGCGAGTGCCAGCCACTCCACGAGAAACACGTGGCCCCACAGGAGGCAGCAAGCAGGCCCTGCGGAACCAGCACCGGGGGTCCGAGATCCGGAGCGGCTGGCCCAGGCGGTTTTCAAGGCCAGCCCTGTTCCGAGGGTAAAGGGCCGCCAGGGAGGTGGACAGTTTTAGAAAATGAAAGTTGTCTAGATCCGGCAGCACCTGCCCTTCTCTGTGACCCGTGGAGCCTCCTTGGAATAAGCGAGTTTGAGACAAGCTTGGACCGAGTGAGAAACCACTAGACCCTTAGCTCCCCCGGAACAGTGTGAGCGGCTAAACGAACCTGTCGCCTGAAATTTGGGACCAACCAGAAATAGTAAAGACACCAGAACAGATCAGCTGATCCAATTTTCCAGAACCTCGTGAGTATCTCCTTCCCCGGAAAGGCTGCCACAATGACAGGTCACCACAGGCAATTTCCAGAAGACACGGGCGGCTTTCTCTGCGGCCCTGAGTTTCTAGACGTGGCTTTGTTGTTGTACCAGACAAACTGCTACATGCTGACTCGAGTCCCACCAGCTGCTCTCCCGTGTGAGAGGCCTGAAAGAAAACGCCGCACTGAGAGAAGTCACAGCACGGTGCTGACGGCCCCTGTTCGGTAACTGTGAGCTCCCTGGTCTCCGCAGTCAGCCTCACGGTGGCCTGTGAAATGGAGGTGGGGTGGAGGGTGAGGCTTAGGAAACATGAGAGCCCCCTACGATTATAGGGCAGTTTGCTCACTCTGTCCACATCTTTGTTGCCCCCCCATACCTTTTTACCTGATATGAAGCAAAACGAGAAAATGTATTTATTTAGAAAAGCATCTTCAAGCGCACGACTAGCGCTCTGTGTATCTCCCCCCACTTGTCACCGTGTGGGACGAATGCCTTGTAGAAAAAGGCTTTTGTTTGGGAAACTTGTAATGAACCTGTGGGACTCCTTTAAAGTCTTCATCACCAGGGGCTGCGTGTAAGCCAGAGTCGTCTTCTGAGAAATGTTCCTTTTCCAGGTACATGGATTTCTTCCCGGCCCCGCCCAACGTCACCACGGACCTTCTGTTCGAGAAGAGTTCCAATTACTTCCACTCAGAGGAGGCCCCCAAGAGAGCAGCTGCTCTCGTCCCTAAAGCCAAGATCATCACCATCCTCATCGACCCCTCGGACCGGGCCTATTCCTGGTACCAGGTAAGGAAACCCAGACAGAGCCCAGCAGGAGCAAGGATGCAGACTGGAGATGGTCCGCGGCAGCCGTCACCCCTCGGGTTTTAATGAGAAAGATTTGCTAGGTGGTTGTTTTTTTTCAAATATGTCTTTATTGATTTCAGAGAGAAAGGGAGAGGGAGAGAGAGATAGAAACATCAGTGATGAGAGTCATTGATCGGCTGCAGCCCGCAACCAGGGCATGTGCCCCGACCGGGAATCGAACCCGATCGCCTGGATCCTAGGTTGATGCCCGACCGCCGAGCCACACCCGGCCGGGCGATATTTGCTAGTTTTTATACCGGCAGAAAAGCAAATAAATTTTTCTTTGTTGTCAGTGGAGAAACTAACTTTCTCCTTAAGGTTTTATTAATTTTGTACCCATTTAATTAACTTGTTGAATAAGATGCATTTACGCAACGAAGTTAAATTAAAACAACGAACAAAATGATGCCTGCTGGTGTATTCTGTGCTTCTGTATAGCTGCACTTTAAAAGTAAAATGTTATAATAATTCAAAATCCTTACTTTTCACCTAAAACACGTGTCACGCTGGTATCATCTGTTTTATGGCCGAGTATAATCTGTTCCCAGAGGCAGGAGTCACGGGTCTTCCAGGAAAAGGGCAGGGAGGCAGTGTTCCCAGCTTTGCCGCCACCAGGTTGTTCTCTGCGGCAGTTCGGCCTCTGAATGAGCTTAGCTGTGTTCCAATAAAACTTTATTTACAACAAGCGGCCAACCCAGTTTAGCCCGTGGGTTGTACATCGGTGACCCTGACTTGAAAAGAGCTGCAGTCACTGCTTGTACGGAGAGGCAGCAGCCACGGCGAATGCCAGGATCCCTCCCGGTGGAGGCCGCGCCGGCTAAGCCCGTGGAGCCTTCCTCGGACCCGCTGCCGGGTCCGACGCCGGGGAGGGCCGCACGCGCAGATGATCACTGAACTAGTTTAACAGACACTGATAACGACACTTATCGGTCCTGTACATTTTTGCTTTAATGAATCATTAAAAACAATAAGAAAAAACTGCCCAGTGATATTTTAATTACCAAGGGGAAAAGATTCAATAAAAAGCAGGCAAATGAAATGTCAGAACATAGAGTTAACGGAGTCGGTGCCGTGGCCTCTCGGACCCTCATTCGTCTTCCTGTTTGGTGACTTGGCAACGCCTCCCAGATGCTGCGCGTCCTGCTGTCCTAGTGGCTGCCACGTGCGAAGCACTGTTCTGAGTCGACCTGAAGATAAATTAATAAACACGGACATTGCACGCGAGGCCGCTTTCAGTGTAACTGGAGAAACATGTAAATAACCCGTGTACAAATCAGGACNCACGGACATTGCACGCGAGGCCGCTTTCAGTGTAACTGGAGAAACATGTAAATAACCCGCGTACAAATCAGGNTTGCACGCGAGGCCGCTTTCAGTGTAACTGGAGAAACATGTAAATAACCCGTGTACAAATCAGGACACACAAAGTGACAGACAGAACCCCACCGAGGGAGAAAGCCCACCTGACGAAGACCCCGGGCACTGCAGATGGGGAGCCCGAACACCCAAAGAACCACTGGGCACCTCCCGAAAGAACGGGAGGGTTTGTAAGGGGAGAAATTTAGGTGAAATTAAAATGGAGTGTTTGGTTGGCGCAAAGCAGGGCTGTGTGCATGTAAGAGGGTTATCAGGGCGGAAAAGCAGACTAAGGCTCCCATTTCCTTGGAAATTATCAGGTTCAGATAAACATGGAATGTTGTGTCCAAAAGCCCCTTACCTGAAACTGGGCACCTGAGTGGCAACAAGGTGACCCGCATGGCTCCCAGCCTCCAGGTGAGACAGGGCTGCTCCTTCTCACTGGCAGGATTTCAAACAGGCAAATTCCCGACCATCCACGATATTAGAGAGCAGAGTTTCTCACACAGGGCCCGCTTGCTGGTGAAGGAAAGCCAGCTCCCCAGGCTCACAACAGGAAGAACACGACACCGGACAGGCTCTGTGGCTGGGCCAGGCAGGCGAGGTCCCACCGGCAGACAGACGGGGTCTCGGACAGGCACATGGATGGCAGGCCGCCTAACAGGGTGGGAGACGTCTAGGAGGCTGAAACCCACAACCGCACACCAGCCACTCGCATCAAACTCCTGGAGGCACCTTGTAATCACAACAAACAGCAAATTGCAAATTGACGGATTCGACGTTGCATCACTTACCTTTTCCATCAGGTATCTGGAGAAGAGAGAAATGAGCCTTAATTGATTCAAAGAGAAAGAAGAAAATTGGAGCCTGGCAACCACTTAGCACCTGAAAAATTGAGACTTTGCTGAAAAAGGCAGTTTCCAGGCTGCAAACTAACAAAATGTCCTAAATATGACAAATAAATTGCTCCGCCTGGCAGAACGCAGGCCTTGGCCAAGCCCCGCGGCCTGTTGCACCAGTTTGCTGCCCCTGAACCCTGAATATTTATGGGGCGATTTCCTCAACCCCCTGGACCCCTCCTGAGCCCGTAGGAAACTTTCCTGCTTGAGGTGCTGCTCTCTGCATTTTCTGTACAGTAAATTATCCTGATTCATCACAAAGGCTACCACTCAATAAAATCACCCCGGCTTCTAGACGCGAGGTGTGTGTGGTAAAGCTGTGGGTTTCAGACGGTGCACCTGTCCGGTGTCCAGCAGTTTCTACACTTACAGTAAGGGACAGGGCTTTTGTGACAGTGCATCCCATCCCCAGGGGAGCAGACTGTGGCAGAAGTGAGTTCCTGGGCTTGGTGACATTTGCTCACATGATAAATGGTTTTCTTATGAGCTCAGAGGGGGAGCTCATACAATGTCCAAGAGTTATTTTCAGAATGAAGTATATATACCAAAGAAAGGACTCCGTAAAGTTGGTTAAGGAATCCTATCAATAAGAATTCAGCCTCCACCAAAAATTGCCACAAGTGCTCTCTCCTGGGGGTCCTAGCTTTCATTCCTGATGCTCCAGGAAAAGTCCCCACCCTCTCTTACCTGTGAAACACGCCAGCGAGGTGCCCTTCCCTCACCCGAGACTTGTGAGAGGTTGACTTGTGATTACCAGTGCCTGTGGCTCAAGTTTAATCACCCCCTTTCCTCGTAGCACCAGCGATCCCACGAGGACCCCGCAGCACTGAGGTTCAGCTTCTTCGAGGTGATCTCGGCGGGGCCCCATGCGCCCCCCGAGCTGCGGGCCCTGCAGAGACGGTGCTTGGTGCCCGGGTGGTACGCCAGCCACATCGAGAGATGGCTCCTGCACTTCCCCGCCGTCCAGGTAGGAGCGGTAAGAAACTGGCTTGTCACAGGCGCATTGCGCGGATGGCTCTGCCTCCGGATTAGAGGGAAGTTCTACCCATGAAAACAGCACCAGCCTCTACCCTTTACTTGTACGTAATGAGACAGGCAATGAATAAAAAATAGGCAGAGGTAGAAAAGCTGTTTAATTCTTTTTCTTTTTCTTTTTTAATCCAAGGATATTTTTTCCATTGCTTTTCAGAGAGCATGGAAGAGAGGGAGAGAGACATGGGTGTGAGAGAGACGTGTCGACTGGTTGCCACCCGCACCTGCCCGGACTGGCAGGGGATCGAGCCTGCAACTGAAGTACGTGCCCTTCACTGGGAACTGAACCTGGGGCGCTGGGTCCTCAGGCCAATGCTCTGACCACTGAGCAAACCCGCCAGGGCTGCTTCTCTCTTTTAAGTATTTCAGGCTCGATCGCCCTGCTGTTTCCAGCTCACGCCATCCCTGAGGCTACGAGCTTTAGCAGCCCTGGTTCTTATTCCGAGAAGGAAGCTTGGGCGCCTCTTAACAAACAAGGCAGATATCGTTTTGCTTAATTAATCGCCATTATTTCCCTTGCACCACCTTGCTGAATTTTTCACGAGTCCTTCGTTGTTCCTGGCTTCCTTGCGTCTCTCCTTGGCCGGGCATCCACCTCGATGACACAGTCAGGGCTGACACTGACGGGCCCACAGCAGTCCAGTCACGCCCGCCGGGCCTGTGTGTCTGCAGGCACGCTGTCCGGCCGCTACCCCACGGGGCCGTTTGAACGCGTACTGAAGTTGCAGAAAATGAAAACTTCAGCCCCTCAACCACATGGCCCACATTTCAATGGCTCCGCGGCCACCTGGTGGACCCCCCGTGGGCACGGCCATCTTCACCGAGCGGTCTGCTGAGCAGCGCGGGTCTAGACCAAATGGAAACAATGGCGAGGAGGTGGAGAGCCCCCCGCACGGCAGGCCGGCGCCCTCCACCACGGGCCCACCCTCCCTCGCCAGAGCCCCAGAGCCCCACAGACTCTTCCTCTGGTCGGCTGAGGAAGCACTGCCCACAGGCAGGACTCTGGGAGTCGTACCTTCTCCTCTAACGGAATTAGAGATTTCCGAGCCCTTGGCGGTGCTCCCCTCGGGTGGAGTCCCGAGAGTGATGGGTCCCCTGCGTCACCGCGCCAGGCCCTGTTCGAACCTTTCTTGTCTCTGTCCTGCCCAGCGCAGAAGGGGCGGCCAGTGTCCGGGCTCCCACGTGTGGTTTATAGGCATGATCCTCGGGCTGTCTCCATCCCTCGAGGGCTCCCCGTTCTCACAGTGTTCGCAGGGCTCTCGGGTTACAAAGCAGGAGCACGTTCCAGTCCAGGCCATCGGTGGGGAGGCCCGGCTGGGTCTCACACAGCGTGTGCGGGTCCCTCCGCTCGAGCCGCTCGCCAGGAAAGCGGGGTGCGGGGATCCTCGTTGCACGTTGCGTCTTTTCTCAGTGCCTGCTGCCTTTCTCCCCCCTTGGTAATCTAGTTGCTAATTATCGACGGGCAGCAGCTGCGAGCGGATCCTGCGACCGTGATGGACGGCGTGCAGAAGTTTCTGGGCGTCTCCCGTCATTATAACTACTCCGAAGCGTTAACGTAAGTTTGTGTTCTGATGAGTTCATTGAGGTGTCAGCAGAGAACTGGGTTTAAAGAAGCCGTCGTTTGGTGACGCAAATGTCGCGTCAGCTGCTCCGCACACACCGAGCCTCATTCAGACTGACACCAGCCCCTTGGGGAGCGACATTTCAACGGGGGGCAAGGCAGCGCCCAGATGCCCCGCTGATTCCTGTGAGAGGTCCCTCTGGGGGTGCCCGACCCTCGAAAGGGCTGCTTATGCTGGGGGGGCCGAGCCTATTCGCAGACAGCACTGGGCCTTCCTGCAGGTCTGCCCAGGTGACTCCCCAGCGTTGGTGCGCTGGCTCCTCTCTCCTTTCCGCAGGTTCAGGCCGCAGGGGTGGCCCCCAAGGCC